GTCTCATTTTTATATTCATGAATACCACCAGTAACTCCATCATAAGGTGTCCAAGGTAGTGAATGGATTCCAGCCACTTGGTAATATGATCGCATATCGGTGTGGTGACGATCATACATCGCTTGATAACTTTGAACCAACAATTCGAATTGTGGGCTGTATGTTTCATTGTCACAGCCAATGAAATCTTCAATTGGCAATCGCGGGTATATTTCTGAATGTGGTTCTACAATAACCGGACCAGATTCCGCCACATCCCTTATATGAGAAGAATGATAAGTTGAAGAGTGACTTAATCCCATTTTTTTTTTAATATGGTTATGTTTTTTTCTCACTATTGAGATGAACTTTGAAGTCGATGAAAGTAGTCACCTTTATACTGTTCGTTATAGCGGAGGACCTTTTTGATTTTAAACAGCTGCACTACCTTATTAAGTGCGTCAATGTAACCCGGGTTTGCATAAGGAGAGCTTCTTCCTGCGTTGCAAATACAAAGTAAATTTCCCTTATACGGTGTAATTTAATTATACTTTGTATTCTCAACGCAGGAAGAAGTTCTCTTTATGAAATTGATCAAAAATTAATTATGCAAACATGGCCATTCACGTAATTTATAGCTAGAGTATATTACAGGTAGCATATTAAACTTAATTAAATTAGTTTGGTTATTTTAAATGCAATAATCGAAATTAATTATATTTTTGTATCTTTAATTATTTCGCATTATCTTTCTGATTACTATGATCGGGCTGCCAGAATAACTCGAGTTATTCTGGCAAAAAGTTTATTTTGGTTATTTGGCAGAAATTGGTAGTTTATTTTGGTATTGTGCAAAATTAGATATGTACGTACGTACGTATGTAGCTTATTTCATTCTATTGGGATGTACGTACGATTTATTCTACGGTATATACCTCTAGTGCTGTATAACGTACTTTGCGTATGTACTTTTTAAATAAATTTTTAGAATAAATCGAAATATATAAAGTATTGACTTTCAAATAAGCAACGTATCGGCCTTATTTCATTTTCCGATAAATTGATAAATTTGTAATAATGATTTTTGTCGTTGAAAATTTATTTATTTCGTTAAATGGGAGTTTCTAAACGCTCCCATTTCATTTTTCTGTTTTAAAATTTTGTTACACAATACGATTCTTTTAGCTCCTACTTATTTTCGAAATAGGTCATTTTTCTTTTTAAGACTAAAAGTCCCTTAGTTTAAAATTCTTTAAATAATTGAAGCATTATATAGATTTTCACATTTTAAAATTCTCTAGAAAGGACGAAAGTTTTTTACAATTGGATAAGTCGAAACAACTTAGTGAAGTTTCTTTAATGTTTTGTAATCAGTATTGCTTGTTTACCCGATCCGATTTTTATACGTCTATCTTTTTATCTACACTCTCCACGTTATGCCCGATCGTCGTAATCTGACGGAGAATACCGTTGTTGGACGCTACGCACCAATAACTATATATTATTTAAAGATCGATAGTACTGTATTGTGCAATGTATGAACTATAAGTTATTTAAACTACGTACTGTACATACATACATACAATAAAAAGCATTACGTCAATTATATATAAACTGTACATATTTTCTATATTATTAAATATTGATCTACGTTTCGCTATTGTATCATAAATTCCTTACATATTAGAATTTTATGCTATGCAGAATTATAAATCGAATTCACTATTATTTCGAACATTCTATTTATTAAATTGTCTGTATTATAGTCCTTATTTCAAAGTGACTTTGAATTTTTTTTACTATCATGCGTCAACTTATCAACTTGCAATTGACTATCAACTAAAGAAATATATAATAGACCGATACTTACTTAGCATGATGAACAAGCAAGATCAAGTGAAAATAGTAGCGAAATCAAGGTTTTATAAAATGTCAGAGAATGCACATTGTAGATAAGATAAGAGGAAGCACCCATCCCATCCTCCTACACACCACATCATTATAGCCAAATATAAGGAATTGGAAAGATCTTTCCAACGACATTATATTTGTACCTCTTGATTTGACACAATTCAATTCAAATTTGCTTTTTAAATTTAAATTTTACATATAACACATTTTTCCATTCCTGGTATTTACGCAGGCAATTTATTTATTATTAAAATTTTATTATTTCGATTTTTAATTTAATTAAGAGCTTAGCAGATTAAATTATGATCTTTGGAAATGCCATAGAATTAATAATATCAATAATAGCTTTGATTAAAGAACAAATTTGTGCTGTTCAGGCACCATTGCTAGGATCTATATTTTCAAATATTCTAGTAGTATTGGGATCATGTTTACTCGCTGATGGAATCACTATTCATAAAACGAATGTTAGGATAAGAATTTATTGACTTTAGCATGCATTGCTCTAATTGTATCTGCAGCATTTGTCTTATTATCAATGCAAGTTCTAATGTTTCAATTAGTAATAGTACACTCAGCACAATTGATTCTAGTGTCTTGAGACTAAGTTATGGAGCTTCAGTTGTATTATTTGTAATATATATACTTTATTTATATTTTAAGTATTATAGAAATTTGTTACATCATAGTCAAGTATCTACATTACATATTTACAATTTATTTCTTATTTATAAACAGTTAAAAGAACATAAAAATTTATTTCAAAAAGAGATCTACAGATAAACAAGCATGTGATAGGCAATATTTCTGCAACTTATAGTAACAGTAACCGGATTTTCTGTTGAATTTCTTGTAATTTCAATTGAAGAAGTTGTTATGTCTCTTGGTTTAAGTAAACCTTTCATTGAGAGGTTTCAGAATTAACGTGTGGAAACCTAATTTTGACAGAAATAGTAACGTATTTATTTTCAAATGAGCGATGTATCGATTTTATTTCATTTTCAAATAAATTTGTTTTAGTGATTTTTTTATTGTTGAAAAGTTTATTTATTTCGTTAAATGGGAGTCTCTAAACACTCCCATTTCATTTTCCGATTTCAAACTTTTGATATACAAATAAAATTTTTAATTTTCGAGATACACATTTTTTTTTAATTCTGAAACCCCTCAGTGTCATCATTTAAGTAAATGAAAGCATAGCTATAAGAGACATGATATAGAAATGATCTAACACATTAGAGGGTTTCAAAATTAAAATCAGAGAAAATGAAAATGCTATTAAAAAAATCCTACGTATTTTCGAAATGCATCACTTATTTGTTAATTTTGAAACACCTTAGTATTCATGCTCTACATCTCAAAAAATTTACTGCTATCTCACAATCTAAAGACAGGAAAGAAGCACATGTCTA